GCTAGTAACTGCAGAGCTTGTCCGATTTTATCAACCTGGGAAGGTGAAGGCCACCACTAGTAACTTTTGCAAAACCCAGCCCGGACAGAGTCTCATACTCAATGATTCAGCTGCATCTACGATTCTAAAGCAAGTGAAGTAGAGCTTCTCATTGATCTTCTGTAGAATTTTGAAAAGAGCTGCTTCTTATTCTTCAATACAAGCTGCAGTGGAGTGGACTCTAATTCGTAGCTCAGGAGTCTGAGCAGAACTGTCCTCAATTGGGATTTCAATGGTTAAATTTTCTTCCAAGAAGCCTCTGGGTGGATTTGAGCCCCTTTACACTGGATATGAACCAAATATCTGAATCTGAAGTGCTGACACCCCGGGACTTTAAATAATCATCAATAAGAGTTGTGCACGCATTTCAGAGCCACAGAATTCATAGTGCCAGGGGACTGGAATGTCACCTTTGGCCTTGCCTTCCCTCTTGTTTTTTTGGCATTTGAAATAAGAAAGTTACATTTTAGAAAATGAACTGATCGTCAATTCCGTGCATGTGCGTTCTATCCAAAGTGGTAGTTAATGACTGACTCCTGCGTGCTTCTGCTGCCGTGTTAGTATATAAATCTGCCCTCTCCACCAGCCTCTGTTTCTTGAGTGGGGTTTGGCGTCAAATCCAGCCAGATGAAGATGTTCCTGGGCTTCAGGTGGCTGTTTGTCCTCCTTTCGTTGAGGTGGACTTGTGATGGGGACTGGACAGGTATGATATATGACTCAGAACAGAGTTTCTTGAGGAGTGCAATTTTCATGTGGCTTTGGGTTTTCATCATTTCGATCTGGTGGAATCCTACAAATACCGAAGGAAAATGATGGGGAGGAATCTCTTTTAGATGCTTGATCTTGAGCTGTCATGTTTCTCTCGTGAAGACTAGCTCAGAGATGAGAGAGTGCTCCCTAATTTGAGATCTTGCTTCTTTCTCCAACTCTCTTGCCCCCTTCCAGACTTCTTACCTCATGGAGGATCACATATTTGACTTATATCAAATACTTGGATATAAGATGTGGGGGGTGGCCTGAAAAGCAGAGAAGGTGTACGTGGGGGGAGTTAGGGTGTCAGGACTTTTCCTCTATAGTAAGTAATACTGGAAGGAAGGCTTATTGAAGGCCCAACTGCCCTTTACCTTGCTCATTTTAGACTTGTGTCTGTGAGTTTGTGTCTTCTATGGAGAGGGATCAACTCTCCTGGTTTACGTGGACACGCCCCTGTCTCATCTCTGGAAGTCTCCTTCCTTGCCTAGCCTGACATGCTGAAGATTTTCTCTCGTGACCTCATCCTTGATTTTTTATGCTAATTAAAATGTAAGTTTGCATGTAGTTGTAAGAAATATGCAGAGAGCACAAGTGCACTCTACTTGGTTTCACCGAGTGAAACATCTTGCAAAAGTACATAGCACAGGATGACACCATCTATTCTCGATGCTAGGCTTTTGTCAGCGTTGTCGCGTGCAACTATTTCCTCTCAGTCTGCAGATCATCTTTTCATTTATTGACAGGCTCTTCCACAGAAAAAAGTTTCAAATTTCGATGAAGTCTAACTCAGCAGTTTTTCCTTTTATGCATTGTTTTTAGTTTGGAGACGAAGAATTCCTGGCCTAGCCCCCTACATGCTGAAAAGTTTCCCCTATCTCATTTTCTAACATGTTTGTCTGAAAGTACATTATCCATTGGTTGTTAATATTTGTATAAGGTTTGAAGTTAAGGGAAGTTATTTTTTTCCCATATATATGCATATAGTTTATTTTAAAAGGAAATACACACACACACACACACACATGTTTTAGGAGCAGTTCTTAAACCATATAGCCCTGCTGCCATTGAGATTCCCAAGATAGAATTTTTGTTTTAATACCATTGCTCATAATGACTCCTTTTCCTTTTAATATTGTGCCAAGTATTAAATAATATTCTCATCCTTTTCTCAGACTAAGCATTTTCTCTTTCCTTTTTTTAGACAAATCGTTTTCAAAATGGGTCGTGTAGCTCTTATTTTTTCTTCTTTAGTTCAGTCTAATGTACTTTTTAAAAAAATGATCATTTAATTGGGGCCTCATATATTTATTGTCAGTTGTATCCAGCACGTTTGTACATATGTTGCCATCATTATTTTCTAGAGAAGTTAATTTTTTTACTTATGGATATCCAATTGTTTCAACACCTCTTAACTTGGGAATTGCATGAAGCTTAAAAAGCAGTTCAACTTTCCTTTCGACCATTCATACACGTTTTGTTTCCGGCTATTTGCAGTCTGTGAGACGTCCCACTTCCTCCCTGTACTTCCTGTTCCCATTCCTCCTCCTTCCCTAACATTTCTGGTTTTCCTACTTGACAAATGTTGCTCTTTTGGTCTCCAGTAGGTTGATTGTTCTAAGACATACATACCTCCCTAATTTTATTGTTTCCCATATACACTGATTATCTGAGTGAACATTTAGCTCCAGGAATGAATTTATTTCCAGGCCAGAGGGTGACTAAGGGCCACAGTCTTGGGGTTTCCACTAATTTCTATCTGACCCATAAGCCTGGTATGTTTTCTGATTTTGAGTTTTGCTCCATTCCCCCACTTCCCCCACTCACACATGTCCTACACATACTAGTTAGATAAATAACTAAGTTGTTGTAGTGATTGCAAATGATATTTTATTTTGTATTTTCATTTCCTTTTTGTTTCTACCAGAGGTGAGTGAGCTTAAGAGACTGCAGGTTTATATAGTTTCCATTGGCTAGTGTCTTTTCAATATCTCCTGAGTTCTTAGGCTATTTCTAGTCTCCCAAGAGCAACTTGGAAGGCTTTTTATGTGAGTGGGATTTAGGTCAATGACCACCTCATCCCTTTCCCTCAAGCCCTACCTAGTCCCAGAATTTGTAGGTTGTTCTAACTTTCTTCTCCTAGAATGTAGCCTAGGCTGCAGATTCTATCAGAAAACTAGTCAGTTTCTCAGAGAAAAACTTTGCCGTCAGATATTCTAAGTCAGATGAGAAAGGATAAAACACCATGAAGCCCATCTAGCTGTTTCTAACTCAACAATGGCCCTATTCAGGGTTTCTGAGACTATCAATCTTTATGGGAGCACACAGTGTCAGCTTTTTCTCATGGAGTGGGTGCTGGGTTAGAACTGTCAACCTCGTGGTTAAGAGCCGAATACCTATCCCACAGTGCTGCTAAGGATCCTCAGAAGGACGATAGCCCCTCAAAGTCTATAAATAGTTGATTACAGTATTTTGATAGGGTTTAGATTTCTGCACGTCTTCCTTGCCTCATACCATGAATCTATGGGTACATCAATGAAGCAAAGCTATAAGGACCTTCTGTGGACCATGGGGACTGAATATACTCTATAGTTCTCAGTGTCAAGGCTATAAGATATAGATGTATATTTCCCTGATGTCACTTCATTGAACCCATATATAAAAAGAAAACTTTGAAGAATTGGATCATAGGATTTTTTTGGTATTGATTTAAAAAAATATTTTTTGAAGTCAAAGAATGAGTGTACATAGGTATTTTCAGGGAACCAGGCAATAATAATGGAGACGTCCTTGTTGATATGTGTTACTTCATTGTGCTAACTAGCTCTGCTGAAATTCTGTGAGCTGACGGATGTGATAGCAACATGAATGAAATGCTTCTTTTTCTCTCTTTCAGCTATTCAAATGCAATGCACCAAATTTTGGCTTTATGTTAAGATCAAGCCCACACTCTTCTACAAGATTGATATGCTTCACAATGAAGTGTTTTTGGGAGATGACTGTCCTGTAACTAGTTACATTCCAAATGTTTACTATGAGTTTTTCTACCATCCTACTAAGTGTGGCATCAAAAATATGGTAAGATGAATGACTTTTTAAGTTAAAAACTGAGTGTTTTATGGTATCTTCAACAAGCCCACAAGTCAGAACTCATTAAATCCCCCCCACCCCCATGGCTTTATTGCAAATCACTATTCCTATATTCATTATTTGGTCTCCACTTCTCCTCCACCTCTCCCCTCCCATATCCCCCAAAGTTATGGCTTAATTATTGTTTCCACACATCTGTCCTTTCTGTATTTCATAAATTGGGAAACCTATCAAAAAGAAAAAAAACCCGAATGAAAACAGTATAGATTTATACTGAGGGAGATGGAGGGAGGAAGAGAGAGAGAGAGAGAGAAGAAGGAGAAGAAGAAGGGAGATGGATGGAGGGAGGGAAGAAGGGAGGAAGAGAGAGAGAGAGAAGAAGGAGAAGAAGAAGGGAGATGGATGGAGGGAGGGAAGGAGGGAGGAAGAGAGAGAGAGAGAGAGAAGAAGAAGGAGAAGGAAAGGAAGAGAGAAGAGGAGGAGAAGGGGAAGGAAAAAGAAAAAGACCACCAGTAATATTAACATAAGCCAGAGAATGAATCAAGAGGGGGATCAAATGACCAGGTATCATATACCGTAGTTCTGTCCATAACCATGTTTACAATAATCTGTCTGATAACAAGGCTATATGAGTCCCTCAACTCTAGTCAGAAGGGATCTGCCAGAGGTTTAATCCCTATAGGTAATCTGTAGATGGATTTTTGGCTCCCCACTGTCCTCCATCAAAACTAAAACCAAACTCACTGCTATCCAGTCATTGCTGAATTATAGTGACCCCCTGTGGGCTTCCAAGACAGTTACTGTTTATGGGAGTAGAAAGCCCACTCTTTCTCCCTTGGAATTGGTGGTGTTTCGAACTGCCAACCATGTGGATTGCAGCCCAAAGCAGAAACACTAAACCACCAGGGCTCACCCTTGTACAAATTGGGTGTTCAAAATGTAGGCTCTGATACTTTTCCTTCCGTTGTATTTGGATTTTGTTTTTTGTCACCTTTGGATTCTGTTTGCTTATTTTGAGCATCCTTTCCTGAGGCGAGGTTGCTCATCCCCATTTACTAACAGAAGTCTAAATGCCTCCTCTGAATTCTAGATGCTCACTACCTTGATCTTGACTTGATCTGCCCATGAGGTTCCCTTCCTCTTCCTGTGGTGTTTCCATTGATGTGATGTGATCTCTCCTCACTGTTGGATGGTCTTCAGTGGATGGTCTTCTCCCTCTACCCAGTTCTTGAAGGTGTGACCCTTGCCGATGGGGAGGTCTCCTCCTTCAAGGTGGTTCTTAGGATGTGCATATAAGGGGGTGATATATAGCTCATGGACTGTAGGCAGACTCTCTACCCCTTTGGGAATTTGTCTTTAAGGGTTATTTGTTGATTTTCCTTATAGCAGTGGGCTCATGTGGTATTTGCCCTTTTGTGAATGACTACCTTCACTCAGCATAATGGATTCCATCCTTCTATGAAGTGCGATGTTTCAGGCTTTCATCACTGTTGTTTAGGGATGCGTAGTATTCCATTGTGGGTATGTACCTGATTTCTTTGTCCATTCTTCTAGTGTTGGGCATTTAGGCT